TGGACGGATGGACGGATAGATAGATAGATAGATAGATAGATAGATAGATAGATAGATAGATAGATAGATAGATAGATAGATAGATAGGATGGACGGACAGACTGGATGGACGGACAGACTGGATGGATGGATGGATGGATGGATGGATGGATGGATGGATAGACAGACAGACAGACAGACAGACAGACAGACAGGATGGATGCCTATTTCAGCAGGAACTAATGAAAAGAGGCAACACAATTCATATGGACCCATCTGGTTTGTTTGGTTTATCCTTGACCAGGCCGTTTCCTTCCCCCCAAGCCTTCTTCAGCCTCTGGGCCACCTTGCCGCTTTGAAAAAGCTCTTGGTCTTTTCTTCAGTGTTTTGGTATTTAAATGGTGCGTGTTAATCATTCAGTCCACATCTTTCCCCTCTGCTTAATCTGCTAGGGGAGAGAGGGATTCGTTTCAGAGCCCTTCCCTTGAAGCCTAAAAGGGATCTTTTTTTTTTTCCTCCAAAAATGCTGCATTCTGTAATGGAAAAAAGGCAAAAACGATACATTATTTGGAAGGCCAACCCCGGTTCTTCTTCTGTTGCAAATTCAGACTGTTTCCCACTGTCTGTTGTTGGGGTTGTTGCTGCTCGTAAGTCCTCTCAGGGTTGGCTTTCCCAGGCTTTGGGTCTGGCACACTCGCTCTTCTGGCACACCCTCCCTCCTCCAGAAGGCTTTCGGTTCCAGGGTTTGGATCGGCGTCGAAGTGAAATTGCATTGCCGACATTCCACTCATACACACAGTTTGTGGCAAATGTTTTCTTGTCAGAGCCGTTGGGGCGGGGAGGAAATTACCCTCAGATGAAATCACCTCTTTGAAGTTTCTTCTTTTTTACCTTTTTTTAAAAAAAAAAATGGAGTGCTGGGTTTATGTGTTGACACTTATAAACAAAATTACAAAACTTGCCTACCAAAATTCTTACCGACCCGTCTCTCTACAACCGTAAAGCAGCATAAAATCTTATGATACAGGATTTCTTCTTTTTTCATTGTTCTCCTCTTATCTTAATATGCAGGAAACATTATAGAGGAAGATAAATTTCCCCAGCAAGAACCAGCAAGATTTTATAGCTCTAGGAAGAGAGAAAGAAATAGTAGGGGACTAACTCTGGTGTGTGCTAGCCATCCCCAACTCAGTCTGTTAGGGCTCTGTTGGAACACAGCACCTGTTTGGGTTGGGGATGATGGGAGTTGTGGTCTAGTTGTGGTCTAGTACCTCTAGCAGGTACCTGATGGGGCAGGGTTGGTCTGCAACCTGTCCGATGGTGTTCAAGATTGGGTTTTTTGTGGAGATAGTAGGAATTAGAACTCTGAAATGGGGGAAATGGTTAGATGTCAGGTGAGATCTTAAACCAGGGAGGAGAAAACCATTCTGTGCTAGAGTTTTAGGCCCAGCTTTACAAGGGGATGAGGGAATGGGTAAATGAGCAAGTAACTTTGGGCAAATTCCTCTGGACGTCATGCGTGGGGATGGGCCTATTCAAAACATGGTTCATTACTTGAAACGATTGGATGGGCCAACA